TGGTATGTAACTGCAAGTCTATTGCTAATGAATTTTCAATGCTCTTTAATTTGAACTATCTTCCATTTTTCATCATAGCCGCTGAATAATGAAAAAATTCGAAAACAACCTAAGTTAGTGATGCAGTTTCTTTTTATGTACATCTGGTCTTACTGTGAAGGAATGCATAAGTAAATTCTTTACGAGTTATTCACCTTGTATTCTCATATGATCACAAATATAAATTGACACCCTTCTACTACTGCTCATGCTGAGCTATTTCTGTCAACACCTGTTCAAACAATTGGATTTTCAGGTCGCTTCAGGATAATGCAGGCTAAAGTCGAATCCGCAATCTAAAAAATAGGCAGGTTAAAATTGCCAGACAAAGACAACACGAGATCGTACCTGATGTGAAACGGCCGTTCTGATCCTTCGCAAAATAAATGAAACAAGATTTATCACAAAACGTCCAGCAGCCATCAAGTATCATTTTATTCATAGAGAAAGGCAACCAGAATGACATAGAAAATTACTGCCAGATTAGCTGTCTGTCATATGTTAATAAAGTTTTCACCAAAACATATAGAACTGTTCATAAATCGACAGAAAGCGGATTACTGCGCTGAGTACTGACAAATTAACATATTCACAACGTTACAACAGAAATGCAAGCATCACCTACCCTTATTCATGTTTTCCTGATTAACAAATTAAAGCCTATTGTTTCGAATTTATGACCATCATGAGCGCTTTGTCCTCTAATGAAATGAACCATATAACAAACAGGTGTGGAAGCGAGCGGTCGTTGCACAACCTATTAGACGGACCTGCTGCATGAACATCAATAAACGACTACAACAAGCAAACGTCATCTCATCCAAGCATTTTGCCGCAATCCTCGAGCAAGCATTCAGTTGCTAAATTTCTGAGAGGAAGTAATTATCGATGTAGTTTAAGATGCTTAAACTCCGCCGCTGCCGGTCCAAACGACCATGGAGAGAAAAAGAGGGTTCGAGACCATGGTGAAGCCTCCGCAGAAGTTCATGACTTGCTACTCATAGTATTGACGCCATCGAAAATTACTCCCGCTCGGTCGTCGCCCCGGTTACCAAGGGGAACCGCGCACGCTGTTGGGGGACCGAGCCAGACTGGGAAAAGTCCGCGATCAGAACCTGCTCATCGCCCTTTGCCAGCCTGGGGCGTAGCAGCACAACAACAGCTGACGAAGACCGACGAATCCACAGTCAGCAACGGAGTCGCAACCCGTTCTGAACAGCGGAGGCTGAGACAACGCGATGCTATTACAGCACGTCAAAAAAGACTCCACGAACGACACAGTCAGTGGGAGCTTACAGACGTAAATTGCAATATATCCTCACTCAGGGGGAAAGAACAAGAATTAGTTGAAAAGGCCATAAAATAGTAACTCCATATTGTTGGACTCTAGTCAACG